TCTACTAAAAATTTGATTTCAATCCTCTATCAAACAAGACAAAATTACAGTAGATTTGAACTTTTCTCTTTCTAGTTATTCTCTCGCGATTCTTTCCCTCAACCCTTTTATCAAAACATTAACCCTTCTAATTTTTTAAAATTTGTCTATAATTTCTCTACAAATTATCACATCTACTACAAATCTTCACTTTTCAATCAATTTTTCAACTAATTAGAATTTAATTTTGCATTTTCTCCTATCAAATTATGTATATAGAATTGGTGAGATGATTATATCCAATTTGACTTATATTTTTATTTGATTGATTATTAGTATTGAATATTGGTTATATATTTTTCCTTTTGATTACTTAAATTGATTGTTTACATCAAATAGATTATAAATTCTTTAAATATAAACATACATTTTCTTGTGATGAGCAAAATATTAATAAAAGAAATGTTTTTTAAATGTAAAGTTACATTTTCTCGGGTCAAGTATAATCATTCAAAAATTAAGAACAAAGTATTTGATCTATACAATGCAGACAAAAATGACAATATCTCAACATCACTTTCTCAACTTTCGAATGGAAACGCCAGCTACTGCTCGTCTCCATCTTAACAAGCTTTTAAAGTTTTGTTTCGGTTTAGGATTTGATATCAAGACACTAGGTAATGCTTTTTCCTACAAGTAGTAACAAAAACCCTTTCTAAGAAAACTTGATTAATAAAAAGAAAACGTTTCTTCTCATTTGGTAAAATCACGAATTTCATCGCAAAAAAATGATTAAAAAGTGTAAAACTCACTATGACACTATGGTTATGTAGGTAGACTATTGATACACTGGTGCCTTTACATTTGGCATATAATACAATTTGCAAAGTTCGTAAAACATTTTCTCAACTCAGAACACCCATTGATCCCGTGTCTCCACTGGTTTTCATCCATGGATGCCCTGCAAATTAAAGCAAGTGAAATCCAATTAGAACCATCCAATTATAACTCGAAAAGGTCCAAAAACATAGAATGAATATCAAAGAAAATCTTTTTTGAACATGTTTGGTAAAGATTAAAATCTAAGTTAAAGTCAACGTTGAATTTTAACCGCATTTTTCGTAGGACCACAACATTTTATCCACACGTTTCATCAACTTTTATCAAACTCTACTAAAATTGTGATTTTAATCCTCACAAAAACTTAAAGCATGTTTGTTAACCATAGTACTAATACTTACGTAGGACTTGATCAGCCGAGAACCTCCTGGATACATCCTTACACAGCATCCATCTTAGCAAATCCTTAGCTCCTGGGGATACAGAGTTGAAAATCCTCATCGGAAACCTCAAGTTCGCCCTAAGCACGGCGTCAAAAATCTCCTTTGCTGACTCCCCGTAAAATGGAGGGATGCCGGCTAGCATTATATACAAAATGACCCCTGTGCTCCACACATCAATCTTTTCATTGTAGCAGTTTCCAGCTAGCACCTCTGGAGCCACATAGTAGGGAGTCCCAACAATGCCAGACATCGGCTGGCTGTCATTGAAGAACTCAGCTGAGCCGAAATCCGCAAGCTTCAGTTCATTTTTGTCATTGAAGAGGATGTTGTCGGGTTTTATGTCCCTGTGGGCAATCCCATGGCGGTGGCAATGTGCTATGGCTTCCATTAGTGGTACCTATCAAAGAAATACAATTACATTATCCTTATAAATGTGCTTCTGTTTAGACTTAGCAACTCTAAAATACAGTAACAATTCCTGGAAATGAACAGAAAATTTCCGCAAAAAATTATTCAATGCATTCCATGAGGTAAAATTCTGGAGTTACAAACTGTGAAGATAATAGCCTAAGAGTCTCGAATCCATAGAGAAGATGTTTATCTTTCACCTTTCATCGCGGAAATCCGCATTTTCATTCAATTTCATATGTAAATGACAAATATTATCACCTATTTAAATTAAAAAAAAAAAAAAATTAAACAACAAATTGCAATCATACTTCTAAACTTTTTTAAAATTTTTAAAAAGTGCGACTAAGTCCAAACAAATTATTAAAAAGTGCGAGTAAGTCCAATGAAGTAACAGGAAAAGAATATTTGAATATTTCTTGAGAGAAAAAATAACGATACGATCATTCTATGATGCCCTGGAAACAGATAAATTTTCAGAATCTTTTCAGTTCATCATTACAAAATAATTTACAAATACAACAAAACATTACCTCATCAATAATTTAACTTATTATCTATTAATGAGAACATCTGAAATTGCATGGAAACTAATTTTACTCGAAAACAACGAAATTTTCTCTTTAATGAATATATCTAAAAAAGGGGAAAAACGTAAAAAACTCACCATGACATCGAGAGCCTCGGATTCGGTGAATATGGGTCGGGCATTTATCCGATCAAAAAGATCCGATGACTGACAATACTCGAGTATAATGTGAAGAAAGCTATCATCTTCGTAAATATCGAAAATTTTCAACACATTCGGATGATTATTGCTCGAAACCAGCTGCATGATCTTGGCTTCATTGTAAAGGCACTGCCTGTCAACGGCATCGTTTTGGACGAGGCGCTTGTCGATGGACTTCACGGCGAAGCAGTCGCCGGTGATGGCGGAATGACACCTGAATACGACGCCGTACTTCCCCCTCCCGATCTCTTCCTTCACTGTGTAAGCTTTCCTGAGTGCCTCAGTCATCAGTTTCTCTCTCTGGAAATACGCAGTATGTACCGTTGTGGATGTGGGGTATGCATGTAGACGGGTAGTTGGATTTGTTAAACGAATATTCTGCTAACGGCATTGCCATATACAGTGGAAAACTCTTAACGGAAGAAGACGGCGTTAACATCAGGAGTTTGATGTTGTTAGCGTGTGGGTTTGTTTTAGGTAAAATGACATTAATCATTGTAATTTGTAAACAATGGGGCATATTCCTTGTTTGGTTAACTAGAAATTTTGATTTAAAATTTAAAGCAAAACAAATAATTAATTTTAACCATACATTTCATCAAGTTTATAAAAAATCTTATGATTATCTAAACCAAAGTAGGGCCTATTTAATACCTACTAATTCATGCTTAACGGTTTTGCGGATAGCCGAATGGAATCTTCAAGTTGAAAATAAGGTCGAGAAATTCCTCCTGCGTACGTCTAACTTCCTTTTGAACGTGTCACATAAATGATTGTGTATTGAAGGATTGTCGAAAGTGAAACATTTTATGATCTTATCTAAATTTTTAGGTGATAATGGAACGTTAATTGACTCATTATTTGGTCGCATTGACTCGATAGAGTGTTAATTGGAGGCCTCCACATTCGCCTCGTCATATTGTAGGTCATTCATGGATATGTCAAGAATACCAATACTTTTATTCGATTTGCTTTTCAAAAAAGATAATCATCGTAAAAACTCTGAACCTATTGATATAGTTAAAAACAGAAATAGTGGGTTATTGCTCTAAGGATATGAAATTAAGTAGATATATTATACCTATTATTTCCGTTGTTCATCATTTACAACACATAAAAGCAATTTTCTGCATGTGCATAGTGTGTTCTACCATAACAATTGACACCCATAGTATACTTAACTCTTATATTTATATTTTATAATTTAAAATTGTTAAAAAAATGGTCTAAATTATGTAAAAGTGAATTAAAGAACACGATATCACTCCGATTAATTGTGTACATTTTTGTCATTTAAATTAGTGTATAAATTGTCCAAAAGGTGCTAGGAAATTTCAACTTTGAAGTATAAAATTGCACAAGCAAAAATAAAATAAAATAAAATAATAATAATAATAATAATAATAATAATAATAATAATAGAGTAGTGAACGCCGTTATCCGCCGTTATCCAAAAAGTAATTTCCTAATTTGTTGAGTACTAGGAGTCTTATTTTACTACGATACTACCATCTTTGAAATTCCGTACGTTACAGGCGGATTGGGACCTGCGGGAGTATATTCCTTTATGATATCTAAATATCGAATATCGTATAATTTCAAGATTATTACGAGAATGCCACTTCTAGATTTTTGGTGGGGGGGAGGGGGGTTCACAGTACATGTGGTCCATATTAAATGCCCACTAAATGTTGCTTTATTAGTAAAGTTTGTGACAAGTGACTTACCTGCCATCATTTTGTTGCAAATTGAGTCCTCATCCACTCCAATTTTGGAGCCATTACTGCAAAATGAAATGATCATTGATCCTTAATGGCCCACATAAAGATTGTCGTTGTCACAAATAAGTTTGGACAAAAAAAATCTAAAAATCAATTAAGCCAATCAAATCGAATCGACTTGAATCGATTTGACAAAGATAATTGGTTTGATTTAGTTTTCTTTTAAACAAAATCATGGTGAATTGGTTCAATCATGGTTTGAAGTATCAAATCATTAGTTAACCGAATCAATCTAACCTGCTTACATATTTGTCTTTCTTCTTCATTTTTTTTTAAAATTTAAGAAAAATAAAAATCGAAAGATTAACTCTATCTCATAATTATATCTCGATTCCCTCAATCTATGATATTGTCGGTAAGTAACGACACTAGGAATTTCCTTTCACAAGCTCATTATTTTTTAGTCAATAGCTATAGTAATATAAAATTGTTTGATTATTTTAGTTTTTGTAATTCAAGTGGACCAAAAATTAGAACTTTTAAAAAAAAATTTAATTTGGTCTAAAATTCCAAATCGATTTGGTTTGGTTTAATTCAATAGGTAGAATGGGTTCATTTGAGTTGAAATTCGTCCAAATTGACTAATTTGATTTTAGTTTTGAATTGGAGTTGAAATCGACCTAAACTAAACCGCTTCCAAGCTTAGTCACAAAGCATGGGAAGGACGCGTGGCAATTACACCAAAGACTTTCACTCGTTTGGAGGCTTATGCAACATAGCCAATCAGCAGAGTCAAACCCAACTATTGCTATCAGGAAACGTGTGGGCATGACGAAAAGCTAGTCGCCAGGAAAAAGCCATGAGGAAGCAAAGCTTCTCCCCTTTTAGTTGTAATACTCGACTTGTTGCTACTTTGATCTTAATTTTAAGGAATTAACATGTAAGGTAGGCCATCAATTTGGTTTGGCACGGTGTAACACACACACACATATATACACATAATGATGCTCATCTTATATTAAGTATCGATGATGTGTCATAAAATCAAAGATTCACGAAATTTCAAAGTATACAACCACACATTAGTCTAGACACAATAACTCTATATATAGAATGGCATGGTATCCAACACATTGTTCTATAAAATATCTACACTCGAGGTAGCTTCTATGAAAATTTAATCATGTTATATGTACAATGATGGTTGACAATATTTACTGACAATCATCGTCACATTCATCCATTTCAAAAAAAAAAAAAAAAAAAAAAAAAATTTAAAAA